GGCTTTTGTATTTGTGTTGTGGCTTCTGTATTTGTGTTCTGGCCTTGGTATTTGGCCTGACACCTCTGGGCCACCGTATAATGGGGCCATCATTTACTAAATGAACATGGTGCTGTATGGAAGAAGACTTGAAACTAGAGATTGAGACTATAAACTCCTTAAGAAACTGTTTATTGAGCTAATAAATCAAGTCAGCAAGAGTCAGTTCTATCACAGTTCTTTTTTGCAGCCCATGGAGCTGCCTCCTGCTGGCCAGAAGTGATTTTACTTTTATTTTTCGTAGCTTGTTAATACGTTTGTGCTACATGGGAGTCTCATTGTTTGTCTATTTGTTGGGAGTTTTCTTAAGACAGCAGCAAGATTAGGATCAGCCTCTTGAGAGCATTGCAGCAATCAGTCCAGAGAAACTGGTCTGGTCCACACAGCACATTAACTCCTCCATGAATGTCTATTTTCATTCCTTGATCACCTTTGTGAAAGACTTGTGCCAGGTGAGGTGAATTCAGAATGTTTTGTAACTGTATGGAATGTGACATTATAACTCTGGTTCTGAGCTTCATGTTGTAAAGAAACATTTGAAAAAGTGAACCTGTATAGAGATTTGTGACTGTAAGAGTATAAAACTGTAATTTAGAGAAGAATTGTTTCAGAGTACAATGTAGGCTGACGGTTCACCTGCAGAGGGCAGTAGAGCTCTATGACACAAGCTCACTGGTGCTTGATGCTGGGAAACTGAACGGTTTCGTGAAAAGAAATGGTCTCACTTAAGACAAAGCACACAAGATAAGTTAGAAACATTACAGGCATCATGGGGATGATGGGAACATTATCAGATGTTTGTGTTGTATGCAATGAATGCTGGGTGTCTGCACATATCTGCGAGATTGTCAGGGATGGATCAGGCAGGCAAAAGACTCTTTTCTAGATGTATTGGCCAAAGGCAGAAGACAGGGTTATCTGGCACTGTTGTTCTTTATCTTTAGCTATCCTATATAAGTAAGTATAATGAATATCAATACTTTTTTATTGCATTAGTGGAATGACTATTTTAGTTCTGTCCAACTACTCTATGTAAAAATGGCAAAAATGAAGCCTACTGAAGTGAAGCAATGAGCTGAATCAGAAATTCCTTTCAGAGGACACTCAGCCTTTTCTAACAATGTCTATATAAGACCACAGCAAACAAAGCAATATTACATGTATTGTTGAATAAAGTCAGCTCCGAAGTGTGAGCATTTGTTATTTGCTACCGTTTTATATTATATTAAATTGAACTTAAAGACTATCATGAATGCAAATTTTTACTCCCATACTGGCAGGAAAGCTACAAAGGATAGGAAGGATGTGTTGGGCAGTAAGGCATTACTAGTAATAATATTACAGTAATAATATTACTTTCCCCAATATCTTATAGTGTTACTAATTACACATACATTTCAGTAATAATATTACAGTTACCCACGCCAAAAATAGTTTGTTTTGTTACTTTTGTTGGCACTACCTTTCTGATTTTAAATCCAACAATCCAATCACATTCTTGGATTCATTTTTGTAATCGTGGAGGAACCTAGTTTGGAAGATGGAAACGCTTACATTCAGCAGCTGGAAATATTCCATTACTTTGATTTTAACAAACAAAACTAGTTTCTAATCATCGTAAGTCCGAATTTTGGGGGGGAGTAGCATAAAAGAAATATAACTAGTAGTGTAACTAATTGCTGTTGACAGGGAGTAACAAGTAATGAGTAATGAATTACATTTTTTGAGTAAGTTGGTTGTTACAGCATGGTCAATACACATTTTTCTGAAAAAGACACTGACAAGCCAAATTTAAAAATACAGCTTTATAGAAGTAACGTTAACTTCATTAATCCAATCAATCCATAAGACCTGTCAAAATCAAATTTAAAGGTCCAGTGTGTAACATTTAGGAGGATCTATTGTTGGAATATTATTTTCAGAGGTATGTTTTCATTAGTGTATAATCACCTGAAAATAAGAATTGTGTTTTAGTTACCTGAGAATGATTTTTTTTTGTGAGTTTCACAGTAGTTTCTCCTTTGCACTTGGACAGAGAGAGTGAGTTGAGTGAGTTGCAATCTGCAACTACATAGCCAGATACATTTAATGTTTAAAATTCAGTTGATCAGGTTTTAGACTTTTTAAGACCCTGTGGACACTGTGCTGTCTGGGAACTTGTGATTTGCATTTTTCTGAAATGTTATAGACAAAATGAAAATAGAAAATAAAATCTGCATATTAATCTGTAATGAAAATAATCATTAGTAACAACCCTAAAAGGCACCTTGACATACTGAAACAGTTTGACCTAGCAGCAGGGTACATTGTCACAGTCTCCCCTAACTTCTATCTAATAGGATACAAGAGGTCTCATGTTTGGATAATTGAGGCTCTGTTGTTCTTTACATTCTCCAGTCCACGCACAACATCAACAGATGAACTGGCAACTGGAAGCCTTGATTTAACAAAAAAAAATAAATGCATGCATGCATACATGCTGATGACAACGAGCAGATGGAGGAGGTGAAGCAGCGACATGGAGTGATGCATGGGAAGATGGTTGCTATGTGGACAGATAAATGGACACAGTGGATCGGGGAGGTATGGATGCTTCATTGGCTCTCATTCTGTCTCCCTAGCTGAGTTGTTAACCTCTCTGCTCCAGTGCTGATATGGCCAAAAAGCCAGTGTGTACACAAAGTGCCAAAATGCTAATAATCCAGTTTCATGCTTGACAGTCTCAGAGAGTCCAGACTTAGCATGCTTCAGCACTCCTATCAGTGGCAGGCATGCTCAAACAAGAGATGGTTCCTGATCCAGGGGAAGGAAGCACATAGGGCTGATCTTTGCTTTCTGCCCTGTTCAAGTGAACTGGTTGTCTGAAGCATGTCCTGTAACCCCTTGGTTCTTTGAAGTCCTGATATGAACAAGATTAAAGAACCAAAGAAAAGCCTCCCCCATGGCATGTAGGCGGAAGAAAGGGTCAGTGTGCTCTTATTACATTTTTGCTATGATAGTATAGCAGGAGAAGATATCATTAAAACAGCTTTGAAAAACTAATTCTTCCAGTTACACTGCTTCTGAAGGAGCACTGACACAGCGAGGTGCACAACAGAGTAAGCTTTAATACAAATCCATTAAAATGAAATTAT